TATAGATTTCTTCAATTAAAAATATTCCCAAAATCGATTTTGGAAGTAAAACATATTACCAGCAATAAAAATTTTGTTGGTATTAAATAACCCCTTGAGGTTGATATGCCGTAAACCAAACCAAACCAAATCAAACCAAACCAAACTATCCTCTCAAATTTTATCTTTCACGGCAATGAAAGGATCAATTTGATTTTTGAAGTTTTCTATGGATTTTTTTCTAAATAGAATACTGAAAAATATTTTAATTGTCTGTTCTCTTCAGCACGTGACCGATCATGGCTCTCCACAGCATTCTATCCTTGGTAGCTCGAAGCAATTTTTGCTCCCATGGCTGGAATAAATATTTATATGAATTGCAAGATATGCTTAATATGGCGAAAGAGTGAACATATTCCTTCCAAGATATAACGGCCCTTTACGTGGTCATCAACGAAAATAACACCTTTCAATGACTGCACATTTATTTTAGAAAATTGTACACATTCGAATTCAGCGTTTGGTTTTCTTGAGTGGCAACATAATAGAAGTGCGTTTTTCAACTGAACATACACAAAAGATCATATCCTTTAAAGGAAAATTCCTTGCAATTTTTCTGGTGCTATGTTTTATCAATGACTCTCCACTGATACCGTTCTTTTATTATGTGTGAATTCGTCTTCCTTCAGAGAATCTATGACACTTCGTGAGACGATGTGCTATTACGTGTTTCGGAATATATTTCAGATATCTAATCACGTGGTGCTAGATGCCACATGTGTTGTCTAATCATTGTGCTTTAAGGGATTTTTTAAAATCTTGTTAATAGTTAAGGAAGCTAAAACTGGTTAATATGATTGTTAGAAAATTTTTGTAATCGATTCTCAAAATACTCAAAACATAACTTTCAAATGTCTACAAACCGAAAACAAAATTCTTCATTATTGCTGAAACCCATCATGAATTTTAACTGTTCTATGATTTTACTGCCTAAAATTCTAGCTCTGAATATCACTCAACCTCTCCACAATCATTTTCCAAGTCATTTTAGTTGATTATTTTCATGAAGGATCTAACCTCAAATTATACTTTACATTTATCACTAAGAATTACTGTGGAGAAATCAGTCTTCAAGTACGTTATCGCCAAACTTACATGTTTCTTTTTTGTGATGTGTACCTACTTATGTAGGGTAAATTGTTTGCTATTATGTCCTTAGCCAATGTTTCCAATATCATTTTTATTCATCCCACGACCTTCTTCAGGTATTTACTTACTGGTCAATCTAATTTTCTTGCTTATTATGCTTTCAATATCCTCAAGTCACTTTTTGTGACATTTTCTAAAGCCAGCATTTTCATGCTATTATCTTGCTTATATTTTCTATTTCTTTATCGATTGATCTTAAATGTTTCGCAATTTCCATCATTGTATTTTCAATAATCGATAACTTTTCAATATTTTATGCCTCATTTATAGATATTTTCTACGACCCATATTGCCTTCTTTATACATCTTCAATTAAAAGTGTACCGGTATATAAAACATTACACAATTTATTTTTATTTTCAATGTTATGAAAACTCGAGTTTCAAAATGAAATCTTACACCATTTCGGATATTGTAAAATCAAATCCATATAGTATATTTATCACACATACATGCCTAGACTTTTAAGAATTTAAGCGTTGTACAATATTGGCAGATCGGTCTCATAATGTTACTGTTGAAATTGCTATGTGTAAACTTTTCGTTTGTTGCACTATATTTTGGCTTCTTGATTTCTAGTCAAATTTCATCATCAATGAATTAAATCCAGTGTCAATTGTTATCTTCTTAATTCATGTTCTTTTATTGTTCCCCTCCTGCATCGTTTTTCACGTTTTCTTTTTAACTTCTGTTTCAGTGTTTTTTATTGCATTGTGTGGGGCAAATGATAAAAATACATCTTTAATTCTAAGTTAAAATGATGATCTCTCTTCCTGTTGTGACCTCCTGATCCAGTTTCCCACTCTACGGTTCCCCCTGTTTTAAACTTATTCGCCGTCCTCTTGATGGTTCTTGAATAAACTTTGAAGATGGAAGCCAGAATATGAATTTTGGTACCATTATTGAAACTATGAACGATATTTTCCTCTCATCATTGCTCAGTTGGAAAGACAGTGTGTCTGACAGAAAACAATTTTAAACTTTTTGCTTTCTAGCTTAATAACTGAAAGGATTTTTAAGTGATTCCGGCGTAAATATATCTAAGTATCTTATCTGAAAACCCGAAAAAAAAGCAACTCAATTAGATTAGTTTTTTTTTTTTTTTTTAGATATTAAACATATTTGTGGATGGATAATTCTGCTGTTAGATGGTTTAGACAGTTTTGCCGTTAAGCCGGAAAGACATGTACTGTGAATAATACTAGGGTGGCAAAATGTTCATCGGCTTACTATGAAGGAATGATTCTAGAGTTGCGAAATGCGTTCATTTAAACTACTTATTTTTATTATTAATAACTGTATTGTTTCCTTCCAGAGCAACTGGTATCTTAATGTACAAAGAAAACAATTGATCCTGTTGATCAAAATTTGTATCCACTACCGATGAGGTGACATCAGCCCTGTGATACTGAGTCCCAACCGATAGTTTGTTTGTTTTGTTTTTTTTTCATGATGGGAATAAGTGATAGGAGAATAATCAATCAGTTAAAAATCTCAGTAATGCACAGAAGTCATTGTAACCAGGAAGCTGTGTGCTAGATTATTGTCAGTTTTCTTAGATGTCTTGATAGCCTTTCGTAACTGCCTCAGAAATTTGACACTATTGATGATGTGTAACTTCTGAAGATAGTCAATGAACACAACACCATTTGCAACCCACAAAATGCGAGGCTATCAACTTTCCTGTAGATGAAAAAAAATGGCTTTCTTTGGTGCAAGTGAGGAGGAGTATTTTTACTGTATGTATAGTCACATTGTGCCTTGATCAAAGCGATGAATCCAACACTTATCCTGGGTGAGGAAACATTTAAGGAAACCAGCTAGCTTTGCCTCAAACAATGCCAAATTTTCGCGTAATGTGATCAGCTTGCTACGGTTTTGATCAGGTGTTGGAAGACGTTGAACCCACAGAGCAGAAATCTTCGTCATGCCAAGTTCCTTGTACAGAATAAGTAAGACATTTACGAAGACATTTTGAAGTGCAACATCATTTTCGTATTCGAGACGTAAACAATATAATTGCTAATATAATCTTACATTATTTGACATTACCTAAGATCTTTTTTATTGCATACCATTCTCTTCATGATATTTTCTCTAACATTTTATTTCCCATAAAAATTGTGATAACATGGTTTTATTTATATGTTTCGTGCTTTGTTTTACTTCTCTGCAGTTGATCTGACATACATCTTGATTTTCCTTAAATTTTCTTTTGTTATCACTTTCACCGTACATACCTTTTCTCTCTGCATTTTCTTTATAATGGACGATTTGTCTTCGTTCTAAAACTGCATATTTATTAGGGTGAATTTATTGTCCATATTTTATACTTTCTTATTATGCCTTTTTTACCATTTTTCAATGGTAATCATTGAAATACAACTAATTATTATAATGTATCTCTTAGATATTTTATTTAATTCGTTCGCCATTTGAATATATTTCCTGATAGGTTAAAAAACAAATATTTCCATGAAATTTTCGGTAAGGTGACGGTAGGTTAAACCATATTACTTTTCTATTTCTATTCTTTTCTGGTATTGCTAGATATTCTAATTTGCATTCCCTTTTATTTAATGCTACATCATACCCCACAGTGTTTAATATATATATATATATATATATATATATATATATATATATATATATATATATATATATATACATATATATTCAAAACATATATATATATATATATATATATATATATATATATATATTCAAATATATATATATATATATATATATATATATTCAAACATATATTGTTTAATATAACAGACAACGAATGTCTATTATGTTTGATCATGAACAGTTATATTTACTATCAAAGTTGATATTCTGATGACACGGAAGATAAATCTGCGACGGCAATATTGTAAATATGTTTGTTTAAATGTCCATATAACTACCCTGAAGATGGCTCATGTTAGCTCGAAACTTATATCAAAGAACGGTACAACTGAAAAATATGCAAATGCTGAACTTTTTTCTTTTTCAGTTTCTCCTGAAATTAAAGTAACTATACGAAGTTTAGAACGACTGATGATCAAACATAATTGGCTTTCGTTGTCTGTTATATTTAACAATATATGTTTGAATAATGATCTGCTGCCACAAAACATATATATATATATATATATATATATATATATATATATATATATATATATATGAGAGAGAGAGAGAGGGAAAGATAGAGATATACGCGACTAGAATTCATAATTTAAACTGAGAGTGTCAGTAATTTTCTATCGTTCTGCCGCGAAAACTCAGCACTTTTCACCGAAAAATATATCAAATTTTGAATAACACAGATAGATAGATAGATAGATAGATAGATAGATAGATAGATAGATAGATAGATTAAACCTAACCCATCGTTGTTATGTATTACTCTTTCACGATTTCATTGTAAGGATTACTAGTCAACACAAAGAAAAAACATCTTACGGAATCAAAAAATTCCAGTGCAATAAATTCTAAAGTGGAGGAACAAGTTCCATTGTGTCCATCTCACAGCCTGTGTCAAAGAAGCAGATCCAGGCAAGATTTTTGGATGCTCTCAAGCCGCATGTGTTAGAACTTATCTTTGCTACACTTAGCCGGATACCTCATCAAAAGCTTAGGAGTGCATTTAACGGCGAGGCCTCACCGCCTGTCTGGACACCAATCTAACTATTTCTAAATCGCGAGATCGACACATGCGCACATATATACATACATACATGCATATATACGCATATGAATCTTTTCAGTGCATATAAATAATTTGCCCAAAACATTGATTCTCTCTTTTCCTTCTTTATATGCTTGATAACATATATACTTGTCTGATCTATCTATCTATCTATCTATCTATCTATTTATCTATCTATCTATCTATCTATCTATCTATCTGTTTCAGTCTGCTCATTATCAGAGTATGTTAATATCGTTCTATCTACATGCCTGTGAATCTTTCCTTGCGTTTGTCTTTTGCACGTTGTAACCTTCAGAAAGAAAATAAAACGAATCAACAGCGAAAGGTAGATAAACAAAATTAATATAATCAGTGACGTTCAGATTATTCATTTTTTCGCTTTTTTTCTTGATTGTAATCTATCGGCTTTATGTTTAAAGAACGTCCCACAGACCAATGTGGCCTGTCAGGCTTTCAGTATGTTTTATTACGAAGATGTTTCTTTTACCAACGGTTTTATAGCAGACAAAGCCATGCAAGGAAGATACCAACGTAAGTCATGTTTACTTACTGGGTAAGCTTATTTTCCTGTCTGCTTCCGAAGCTGATGCCTTTGTCAAAAGAGCAATTGGGTGGGCGATATTTTTTTATTGGTGCTGTGGGGGGTTTTGGCTACTATTTATTTTTATTGTTACTTAGACATCTTTTTTATACTAAATGCTTATAAACATTAGAGCTGATGCAAATATAAACAATAAAATATTTAAGAAAAACAGGACGCCGGGTAACTGTCTTACATGTGCATGACAACTCTGAGAACTTAGATCTTTTCTGGGTGTAACACTGAATGTTCAGGTATATATTATTCCCAAAACGTTTCCGACTCAAAATATTGCTCTTTCTATCTATCTATCTATATATATATATATATATATATATATATATATATATATATATATATATATATATATATCTTCGTCTAACTCAGCCTGTTCATGTTCATCCATTCATTCATTCAATCACTCATTCATTCATTCAATTACTCATTCATTCATTCTTTCTTTATTTATTTCTTTCTTTCCTTCTTTCTTCATCAAGCTTAGACCGTTCATATATATCATTCATCGTTTGTATTTATGGCAGTCTGTTTGGCTTTCTTTCTTTCTTTTTATTCTACCTATCTATCTATCTATCTATCTATCTATCTATATCTATCTATCTATCTATCTATCTAAAGTTGCCCATTTGTATATATATATATATATATATATATATATATATATATATATATATATATATATATATATATATATTTCATTTTGTCCTTTCTTTTTTCCAATTTTCTTGTTTTAGTTCTTTCATTCTTTTTTTTTTTCTTTTATTTCTTTTTTTTTTCTTTCTTTCTTCATGTAGCTTAGACCGTTCATATATATCTATTCATCGTTTGTATTTATCGCAGTCTGTTTGGCTTTCTTTCTGTCTTTCTTTTATTTTATCTATCTATCTACCTACCTATCTATCTGTCTGTAAAGTTGCCTGTTCATACATATATATATATATATATATATATATATATATATATATATATATATATATATATATATTATATTTCAGTGCCCTTTGTTTTTTCCAATTTTCTTGTTTTCTTCCTTTCTGTCTATCTATCTATAACTTTGCCTGTTTATATATTTATCGCAGTCTGTTCTTTATTTCTTTTATTTTTTTCTATTTATCTATCTGTAACAAAATATACTCAAGAAACAGAAGGTTGCGAGAATGGCACGAACGGACTTGTAAGCAACAAGGGAATTTTAAAGAACATTTAAAGGAATAAGCAATTAGTACTAAAAAAATAAGTAGAAATTTCTCAGACCTCTTAGAAAATGAGGGCGTGGAATTTTGCTCTCACAGTTCATATTGAAAATAGAAAGATTAGAGAGAAAAAGCGAGTAACATATCTTATGAACTTGCTTAAGTGGATTGCAAAACAGATATTGTAAGTAATATTTAGGGAACAATCATTGTGTAAAGCTTGAAATAGCAACTGATAGAGAGCTATGATCTCCCAAATTTTGTAGAGATATAGAATGCTTCGATTTTGTCCCAAATGTAGATCCCCATTGTCGCCCTCATCCCTTTTTCTGTTTATTTTACTTTTTACCGAAATGTTTTATAAACATTAATGAAAGCCTCACTAAGACAATTGCATTCTTGAATATCTACACGCGATATAAAGGACATATGTTTTCAGTCCTTGATCGTTACTAGTTCGGCACAAAGCCAAATATTACTTAATTATGTTAAGAAGATTGTGTGTTTTGTCACTTTGCAAGTGGAATATTGATGCCTACCTAAGAAGCAACACCAATAATATTGGCATTTGGAAACAAACAAAAAAACTGTGCGAAATAATGGAAACCACATCACCTGCAGCCACAATTAAAATGGATAGCACATGTAACTCGAAGAGTATAACATAGTCAAGATGATGATATTCCACACTACTTCAAGGTTAGGAAACAAACCCCATCAAAACTAAGAAGAGCGATAACATCTACTGGAATTGAAGAATCTGTTTAATCTTAATCTAAGCAACAAACTTAAGAATGGCAAACATTTCCCTGTATGGAAACTGCTGATATTACAATTACCATTTACGTGTTTAGAATACTGAACTGTGGCATCGTTAGATTATGCAAAATTATTTCAAGACAATCCAAACTTTTCACGTTTATGCAAATTTGAGAACGTTTCGCATTGGCTTTCTTGGACTATCGTAATTTTCATTTGAAATGCTATTCAGTACAGTTCTTTGTTTGAGCAGAAGAAAACCTATTTCACAATCATTTTACATTCACAGAGTAAAACATATTTCCCGAGCATTTAAACTGATTTCCTACAAAATGTCTCTGAAAATCAGCTGTATATTTTAATTTTTTCCTGATACTTGATTCCACTGATGAGTGTAATATATTCATGATATTATATGTTGTTAGCTTGAAATTGCTGTTTTCAACTGCGGTTGTTGTTCCTTAGTGAACCGTCGTCGGTGTGATACTGCGTCAGTCACGCTAGCTGCCTTCAAGGCAATACACACAAGTCACAATTTCTCTGTTTATTGCTGATTGTTATTGTTAAATATGCCGTCATTTTACCAGGAGAAATATTTTATTGTAATAGTAAAAAGCTCAATGGTAAACGTTGCCGACTAAGTGACAGTGACGTAGAGACTAAAGAGAGTGTGAGAAGGAAATTTCACGTTCTTAATAGTTGCTGATTCATCAAATCGTGGGATAATGAAAAGGCACACGCGCATTCTGTTTCTTTTTTAATATTATGCTGGAACCTGGCCGTCAATTGACAAACATATCAAACATATTGTATTAAGATCATGCTTATTGGGAGACAGTGTAGAATAAATGGATAGCGGCTCAGATTGAGGAATTCGTATTCCAGTTGTATCCATTCCATTCACTTACGTGATAATACATTGGGAAATGCATGAATCCTCTTCTTATCCTCGCAGCTAAGAGTAAATAGCTGTGTTGTCTATGGCTTTTAGTATTATAAGTTGTTTTCCAAAAGACAATGTTTACATATAACAATGCTAATTATTATTGTTTTATTGTTTTACCTTTTTTTTCTTCTTCTTCTTCTTCTTCTTCTTCTTTCAGCGTATATATATATATATATATATATATATATATATATATATATATATATATATATGTATGGTGTGGAAGAAATAAACCCCACATATACCTTCGAGAAATACCTCCCACTTAAAGCCATGATAGGGGATATGGTGTCTCCATATAGCTGGTGTCTTACCATTATGCCGGAGGTATTTCGAGGAGGCTATATGAGGAGAGAGAGAGAGAGAGAGAGAGAGAGAGAGAGAGAGAGAGAGAGATGCACATATATGTATGTGTGTGTATGTGCGTGTGAGCGAGTATGAAACTGAGAGAAGGATGAGAAGTCATTTATTGATTTGATATCCAGATTTCTCAATATCTTTGTCATTTTTTCTATCCCTCTCTCACACTCAATATATATATATATATATATATATATATATATATATATATATATATATATATATATGCACATATGCAAAGACAGGCACGCGCGCGCACACATATCTCTCTCTCTCTCTCTCTATATATATATATATATATATATATATATATATATATATATATATATATATATATATATATATATATATATATATATATATATATATATATATATATATATATATATATATATATATATATATATAGATAGATATAGATATATAGATATAAGTTAGTGTGTCTGTGTGTAGTTGTCATTTCATGAATTGCTTTCTGTTATATATGAATACTATCCCACAAGGGTTTCCTATGCATGGTTGTCGGAGAGAAAAAAAAAAGATTTCGAATCTAGTGCAGCTAAATTAGTTTCTTTTCAAAGAAAAAAATAATGAGTTTTATTTTCTTTCTCTGTATATTCATCTTGAAAGGGTTACCTTTAAATGTGCTGCTCACCTCATGTAGAGAATCTTACTGTCTCCATATCTGTCAAACGAATATGAGATACGATGTTTTTCTCTGATAGACGTCTTTATTAATGGTTGCCACATGGAAATGTAAAAGTTTTCAGAGCTGCGCATATCTCCTGAACGTTTCTGTCTCTAAGCCTTTTCCTCCCAAACCTGTTTTATTTTTTTTCAACGATATTTCTATGAATTCGCTATTATTTACTGAAACTTCTGTCTTAATATCCCAACCCCAACATTCCTATGTCAAAGGTGTCATTTTGAGGACATTGTTTTATTTTTCTTAAGAAAAGAAAATAGGGCTTGTCTTTTCTGAGGCCGATGCTAGGGCAGCGATTTCTTTCTTATAAGCGATCGGAATTATTTTTTTTCTTTCTTTGACGGGTGCCAGTATTCTAGCTTTGCGGTCTATGATCGTTCAGTGGTTAATCTAAAAACATAAATACCAGATTCTAGGCAAACAGAAAAAGAGGTTTCACACACACACACACACACACACACACACACACACACACACACACACACACATGCGCGCGCGCATGCTCCTGAAAAATTTATTTCGGTTGAGCTCTCTGGAGAGGAAGTGTGTGTTTGTAAACAGTGACTATTACGGCTAATAATGCATGACTCTTCGGTAAATCGAATCGAGTTCTCTCAGTTACTGTGCGTTTATCTAAAAATAAATACGCTTAAATTCCGCTTCATCCCAATGTCATAGTGTTAGAATCCCTGACTAACGCCAATTCAGTCGGGTTTCGATCCTAGCTAGAGGCAACCTGACGTCTAGCCACACTGATGAGCTGTGATACAGCGAAACAGTTGGATATATATATATATATATATATATATATATATATATATATATATATATATATATATATATATATATATGTGTATGTGTGTGTGTATGTACACACACACACACACACACACAGTAGGGGGAAGAAAGAAAGTATGAGTCTGTGTGTGTGTGAGCCTGTGAAATTAGAGATAGATTGTCTAGATCGCTAAACAACTCGTATGCCCAAAGCATCCGCCTGACTTAAATAAAAAAATATTTATTAAGACAACGATGTTATTCAAATATAACAGATTATTACAATATATGCATATATATGTATGCGTATGCATGTACGTATTTAAAAAAATCTAGATCGGTATATATGAGACATTCTATTAGTAAGTATTTTATATCTATGTGACGAGCCTCTTTGCAATAATTATGATATATAATGGTTACTTACTTTTTTATTTCAGTCATCTCACTCGAGCTCAAATCCTTAGAAGAGAATTATTCATGGCTTATCGTAACTAGTTAATATTGTCTACATTATTTCTATTATTATTTAATCGGCAAATGCATTTTAGTTGAGATTCAAATATATGTTTAAATTATCAGTTCATTACAACGCATCGCAAAAATATTTTAGATACATCAGAAAGCATAATCGTACAGGGTGAGATCGGTAAGTTATCGCCATTATATTTAATTTCGCGCATGCGTATTGTCTGCTTTGATTTTGTTTGTCGACTGCACAGTATGGTAGCGTCAGTTGGGCACCGTTTGTGAGAAAAACAGAGCAATGACACAATTCACTCCGCCAGAAATTTGGAAACGACATGCTCTACTGCTTGACATTCACGTCGGATGCTCGAATACGGATATTTCAGAGCGTTTGGGTGTCCATCTGAGGAGACTTCAGAAGATTCCGAAGGAGTTGGATGTGTCTAATGGTGATTACAAATGTACTGGAGTGATCACTTGTGATGGCAACTGTATGCCTCCATTCATCTTCGTACAGAGCCTCAGACTCAACACGGTGTCCTACATAAATTGATGGCGTAGAGCTGCCTTGGGTTAAGAGAGTGACTGCTGGAAGACACTATGTGTGGTAATAGGACTCTGCACCATGTCATACAAGCGGGAGAACCCATTCATTACTGTCAAACAATTTCTCCGACCACATCACCTCTTAGAGCGGGCCACTTAATTCGCCAGACGGCAACCCTTTTGATTATAATGTGTGGGGTGCAGTTGAGCGAGAGAACTGTCGTAAGACCAAATATGAATTGAAGTAAAAAAAAAATTACGACAGCATTCAACAACTTAAACAAGGAGACCGTCCAGAAGAGATGCAGGAGATTCGAAAGTCGTCTGGAGGCCGTGAATGAAACCAATTGCGATTTTATTGAATATATTTAATTTTTTGTATTTCAAAATATTTTCGTGTAATATAGCTGTAAAAGTGAGACGTCAGTGTTATTTTCATTTTTGCTTAATTTTAGACTACAATGTATCCATCGCACCCTCTATATGAAAAGAAATATAACCGCAGAAGTCAGTATAAAACAAGAAGTCACAATAAAACATTACAAAACAAAACAAACCTGGAAGCATCATCACGGATATACCTAGAATTACAGTTGAACGTAAACACGTATTGGGATTTTAGTTCAATTACTTAATTTTAGTTTTCCTTAGTTTTCCGTTCGTTATTAAAAAGGCACATTTAGGTATTAAGTACCGGAGAATGATACCGTAACATTCTAACGATAATTAATTTGTAACTAGTCGTAATAATAATAATAATAATAATAATAATAAAATAATAAACTAAAAGAAAATGGTATGAACACCACCCAGACCCGGTTACGGAGATAGGACCTGTTACAATTCTATGGGACTACACAATACACACTGAGAGAACAATCAAAGCCAACCGCCTAGGTATTGTTATTAAAGACCACAAACAAAAACGGTGCCACCTTATTGATATGGCAGTCCCTACAGACTGCAATGTATCTTTGAAGATATTCAAAAAGTTGTCAAAATACAAGGACCTTGAAATAGAAATCTCTAAAATGTGGCATATGGGAACATCAACAATCCCTGTTGTATTTGGAGCCCTAGGACTGGTTGGAAAAGATTGCAGTAGACTAATTGAAGGGATTTCTGGAAGTCCATGCCTCAAGGAGATACAAAAAATTGTTCTGACAAGTACAGCCTACACATTAGGAAGGGCTTTATCTATGTAATATTGTTTTTTATTTTTTTTCTCTGTGGAAAGTGTCAAGATGCCATTTCTAACCTTAGGTCCCTGGACGGGACCCGGAAAGAAATGTGTAAACGCCAGAAATCAAAGAAAATAATAATAATAATAATAATAATAATAATAATAATAATAATAATAATAATAAAAGCTAAATCTAATCGCCCACACATCGTGCTCAAATACCACGAGAACAGAATGCGTTTTCTTATTGACATGGCCTTCCCTGTAGACAATGATTTTGATGTGGAAATATCAAAAATGAGGCACATGAGGACATCAAAACCTCTAGTTATAGTTGGAGCCCTCCGAATGAGTAGAAAATTTTCCGATAGATACACTGAATGGATTCCTGTAAGTCCATGTTTTAAAGAATAAAAACAAATTGTACTAACAAATATAACACTCACATTACGAACAGCTCAATGTAAAATGTATGTGATCAGATAACATAAACCATATCTCCCTTTGGGTCTCTGGTTAGGACCCGGAAGGAAATGTGTATACAACAGAAATGAAAGGAATAATAATTATTATTATTAATAATAATAATAATAATAAGAAGAAGAAGAAGAAGAAGAAGAAGAAGAAGAAGAAGAAGAAGAAGAAGAAAGAAAGAAAGAGAACAGAATATTAACCGTAAACACTTCGGCTGTCCCTGTCGTGCAATAGAATTTCAACAACTTTTACTGACCACAGCTAAGAATATATATATATATATATATATGTATATATATATATATATATATATATATATATATATATATATATATATATATATATATATATGTAAGCAAATATATGGATATAAATCCGACAGTATGAAAGAAAAATACAGAAAAAACAAAATTCTGAATATGCATTATTAATGTTAAAATAAAGTCGACGGTCGGACGTTTCGGTCTATTTAAGACCATCTTCATGGACATTTTCATTTAAACATAATTAACATTATAACTTATAACAATTTAACACAAAAGACGATGGACATAAGAGCCCAAGTAATTCAGACAGATAACTGAAATTTTATACAGATCAGCGTTCTGTTTAAATATGATCACGTAGTCGTCACGTGGGCGATGTTGTTAAGACGTATTCGAAGATGATTTCAAAAAATTAAAATATCAAAAGTCGATTGAAAAATTTTTATAAACAGTTAAAGAAATCTCTTCCGTTGATGTTGGAATACGTAGTGATCAATTGGTTCTTATATCTTCAACAAGCTTGAAAGTCCTTCCCGTTACAATGCAAATCCAAAAATGATTTTAAAAACGATGGAACAGTTCTAAAAAACAGTTCGATAAAAATTCCATTCTTTACTTGATCAATAGATTCTCTCGTCCGAGCTTGAAATCTTCCACGTTATAAATGTTATCTTATGTCCATCGTCTTTTGTGTTAAATTGTTATAAGTTATAATGTTAATTATGTTTAAATGAAAATGTCCATGAAGATGGTCTTAAATAGACCGAAACGTCCGACGTCGACTTTATTTTAACATTAATAATGCATATTCAGAATTTTGTTTTTTTCTGTATTTTTCTTTCATATATATATATATATCAATTACTGTCATCGAGGATAGTTTTTCAGCTTACTTTACAGTCTTCTTATTAGATTGAAATTCTGAAATTTCCAAGGTAGAGAATTTTAATATTATTGCTCTAGATAAAACGAGCTAAGATATGTCGTTTTTTCTGTAATACAATCGAAAATTGAAATTCAAACATTATAATACAGAGACACAGCATAACGGTCTGACAATAGTCAACTAATCAAAATATTGAACTTATTTTAATTTATTTCTCATGATGAAAATTTACAAGATATTTTTTTCCAATAAATTTTTATCCATATCTTTTTTGATTCAGATCTAATGAGTATGCTTCAACTGATGCGTTCTCTAAATTTCTTTGAAATAGAAGTGATGTTGAAAAGATATTGGCTGACCAAATGTGACTCCAAAGAAAAATCTGTTTTTTATTTGGTCATTTTTAGGAATTACATTAATTTTTCAACCGTCATTCATACGAAATTTATGCCAATATGTTAAGTAATTTTCTCCAATTCTGTTTAGAGTTTAACAGGTGTGTCAAGTGTAGGGAATGTAGGGAAATAACATAGCTGAATAATATATTCCAAATAATTCATTGAATAATCATAATAAATTTAATCCAGATTAGTTATCTCTTAGACGACCGGGTGATATTAGACTAGTTTGAATAACATTGACGCTTACAGATTTTCATAATTGCATCCAAACCGATAAAAAACTGCAACGAGTCGTAATTTATAGAATGAGTTCACCAGTTTGATTCCATGTACAATTTAC